AAATTAATCTGATTTAACCTCAGAGCAATTTCTGAACATTTTTTCTTATTTTTTATTTTTTTAGAAATAAGGTCTTGCTCTGTTGTCCAGCCTGGAGTACAGTGGCATGATCAAAGCTCACTGCAGTCTCAAACTCCTAGGTTCAAGCAAATTTTCCGGAATTTTTGACCCAATCTGTGGGGATATTCGAGGGACCATCAGGAATGGGGTGGTAGGTGCTGAAAGTCTTCCGGAAGCAGGACCCAAGAGCTCCAGGAGGTATGGCACCAGTCAGACAGGTTAAGAGCTTTGCCTGCCAATGCCCCATGGCCCAGGACAAGCCCACACCTCCATGAGCATCTCAGAGCCTCCGCCTCAGGCGTGCCCCTTGCTGGCCTTATTTCCCGCCCCACCACACTGGTGGGTCCACAGGCACACCATGCACCATAGCAGCTCAGACTGCTCCTCTCAAGACAGGCTCTCTCCTACCCTTCTTGCCTACAGGTAGTGACTCAATGGTGCCTCAACACTCAGCACCAGGGCTGCCTCTTCTGTGAAATGCCCTCACCCTCCAGCTCGCACTCCTTTCCCCAGTGGCTACCAGTTGAGGGGGAAGAAGTCTGACACATGTGGATTTGAATCCCAGCCCTGCTATGTGTGGGTTATGTGGCCGCAAATATGTCACTAGATCTCCCTGGGCTCTGTGTCCTATCATCTGTAAATGTGAATAATAATGTCCCCCCTGCAGGGCCATTGGAAGATCAAACACTTTTCCCAGAGCCCAACAGGTGGTGGGTGAATAAACACTTCTTTCCATCCTTCTGGCATGTTTTCACTTTTGTTTTTTTTTTTTTGAGATGGAGTCTTAGGCGGTTGCCCAGGCTGGAGTGCAGTGGCACTCGGCTGACTGCAACCTCCGCCTCCCGGATTCAAGCGATTCTCCTGCCTCAGCCTTCCGAGTAGCTGGGATTACAGGCATGTGTCACTATGCCCCGCTAATTTTTGTATTTTTAGTAGAGGAGGGGTTTCGCCATGCTGGCCAGCCTGGTTTCAGACACCTGACCTTAAGTGATCTGCCCACCTCGGCCTCCCACAGTGCTGAGATTACAGGCATGAGCCCCTGCGCCCAGTCTTCACTTATAATGTTTTTAAAACTTGGTAGAATACACACCACATACAATTTGCCATCTTCACTGTTTTAAGTGTACAGATCAGTGGCACTGAAGAAATTCACAGTACTGTGCAGCCACCACTGCCATCCACCCACAGAACGCTCCTCATCCTGTGAAACTGAAGCTCAGTGTCCTCATTGCACAGTAACCCCCCTCCCTCAGCCCCTGGCATGTCCCATTCTACTTTCTTTCCTCTGGCATTTGGCCTGGCCTCTGTGACAGCACTAGCCCCTTCTAGCTCGTGTTGCCAGTTGTTAAGAAGTCTTAACCCCACCGTAGGTCAAGCGGCATCTCATTCATCCTCACCCCTATTACCGAGGCACATGTTGACAATAGATGTTCGAGGGGAAAATGCAAAATGAACGAGGGAATGAGCACAGAGAGGGTCACGTGTGGGTTCATGGTTAAAGGCAAAGAGCTTTGTGTCTGATTTTATGTAGCAGGTGCCCAGAATATATTGAAAGTCTAAATGATGACACGAGTGGTTTTTGTAAATGTTTACTTATTTTTTGAATAGGTGAAATATTTGAAATTCAAAAAGGTACAAAAGAATACACAGTGGAAAGTCAGTTTCCCCCTAACCCAGTCCTCCAGCTTCACTGGAGGCAACCACTCTGGCCAGTTTCTTCTGCATTTTTCTGGAGGAGTGTACACACACCACATGTGCACACACTCATATGTGTGCATGCACATGTTCACACAGCAGACGCTCGCACACTCACATGTGGAAGCATGTTTTACATACTGTTTGCACATCCTGCTTTTTCTCACTTGACAGATCTTTGGAATCCTTCTAAGATCGGTATATGGACAGTTTCCCTGTTGTCTGATAGCATTCATTGAATGATAAATTTATCCTGTCACCTATTTACACCTGCCACAGGATTTATGTCATCTGTCACCTGTTGATGACCATTCAGGCCATTTCTGAATTCTTGCTATACAAGACGTGCTCAGTGAGCAGCCTCGGACACTCACGAATGACTGAATGCCTGAACGTGATCCCTAACCCTAGCCCAGTCTAACCCCTGCCTGGTCTCCCTGGCCCCCAACGCACCCCATCCTTCCAGGACTCCTACCTGCCCCCATGTGGCCATGGCTTGGGATCTTCCCCTTACTCCATGCCAGGTGCTGTGCTGGGCCCTAGAGTGTTTAGGCTGATGGGTCCCAGTCCTATCCTCCCTGGAGCCACAGCTCAGAGGAAGAGACAAATGAGGAAAGAGATATTTAGAAATCGAGTTTGAATGCTGGGATAGACCTGCTGCCCTAACTTTATGTCCCTTCCCCGACACCTCGGGAGCCACAGACTTATCCTTGATAACCTTATCCCCAATCCAGGCTCCCAGGGCAGAGGAGGAGGAAGGGAGGCGGCGGGGTGTGGGGCCAGAGTCAGATGGGACCGAATGCCGATCTGGCTGCTGTTCCCTGCACTACCCAGGCCAGGCCTGTCTGTCTGATGCTGCCTGTGCCCATCTATTCCCCACTGTGTCTTGGCTGCCTTCTCTCCCTCTGGGCCCACTCTGCCAATCCCCATGTCAGGACCCTGCCACCTCACTGTCCTCCTCACTTTTGAAACTAACTAACTGTCTCATTGGAAGGGCTTTTCCACCCTTATTCTTCAAATTAATAGCTGGTGACAGTGGGAGGGGAAGGCAGCATTAAGCCATTCAGATGGTGGGGAGAGGGCAGACACTGCCTCTACACAGGTTATCCTCTGCCCAAAGGAGTGAAGCCAGTGCTGACCTCTGGGCACCAGGGTCTGGATCCCAGGGAGCCTTTTGAGCTTCTTCAAAACCCACCATTCAGAAGCTCTCAGCCTCTCCCAGTTCACTGGACAATGCTCTTTCCACTCAAAATACCCACCCCATCTCTCCCTTCCCTGCCACACCTGCAGTCCAAGCAGTGTCTCCGGGTTTATTTCCTGGGGTTATAAGGCTCTGCACCTCCAAAAACCCCTCATTCAAAGGGAAATGTCTCCGGGAAAGGCAGCAGGGATTTCTCCTTAGCATGGACTCAGGCCCCTTTATGAAAATGCGTACAAGAATCAGTTTTGATGAAGGGCATTAAGTAAGCAAATTTGGTTAAAATGTCCATAGCGGGTCCTCTGAGTAGCCAGAGGTGTAAGAGTGCCTGGGGTAAGGGTCCTGAAGGTGGAAACACAGGCGCTGGGGGAAGGGGCAGGGGAAGGCTGAGAACGTCTTCTCAGGGCTCAGTTTCCTTCCTGTTTGATGTCAGCATGTTTTAAAAGGGGAGTAAAAGCACGAATCACAACAGCCAGATGATGGAAGCATCCCAAGTGTCTCACAGCAAATCAATGGATAAACAACAGTGCAGTGGCTCACACCTGTAATCCCAGCACTTTGGGAGGCCGAGCTGGGTGGATTGCCTGAGCTCAAGAGTTCAAGACCAGACTGGGCAACATGGCGAAACCCCATCGCTACAAAAAATACAAAAACTAGCCTGGTATGGTGGTGTGCACCTGTAGTCCCAACTAGTTAGGAGGCTGAAGCGAGAGGATCACTTTAGCCCAGAAGTCTGAGGCTGCAGTAAGCCTAGATCATGCCACTGCACTCCAGCATGGGCGACAGAGTAAGATCCCATCTCTAAAACAACAATAACAACAACAACAACAACAACAACAACAGAGGTGTATACACACAATGGAATACATTTCGGCCTTAAAAAGGAAGAAAATTCTGACTCATGTTACAATGTGGATGAACCTTGAAGACATTGTGTGAAGTGAAATAAACCAGCACAAAGGCACTCTATGAGGTACATGGAGTAGTCAAATTTATGGACAGAAAGTAGAACGTGGTTGCCAGAGGACAGGAAGGGGGAAGGGGGAGTTGTTGTTAGATGGATACAGAATTCCAGTTTGGGATGATGGAAAGAGTTCCGGAGATTGATTGTACAACAATGTGAATATACTTTACAATACCTAACATACGCTTCAAAATGGCTAAGATGACAAATTTTACATTATGTTTATTTTATCACAATTAAAAATTTAAAACATGCCGGTTGCGGTGGCTCACGCCTGTAGTCCCAGCACTTTGGGAGGCCAAGGTGGGCAGATCACCTGAGGTCAGGAGTTCGAGACCAGTCTAGCCAATGTGGTGAAACCCCGTCTCTACTAAAAATACAAAAATTAGCCAGGCATGGTGGCAGGTGCCTGTAATCCCAGCTACTCGGGAGGCTGAGGCAGAAGAATCGCTTGAACCCGGGAGGCCGAGGTTGCAGTGAGCCAAGATCGCACCATCACACTCCAGCCTGGGGGACAAGAGAAAGACTTCATCTCAAAAAAAAAAAAAAAAATTTAAACAATGAAACATAAATATTTTCAGATGGAGGGATGATAGGAAGGTACCAGAAAGGGAAGGGGTGGAAAAGCTCTGTCTCTGCCTTGGGCCTGCCTATCACGGAGACAAACCCAGGCAGTGCAGAGCCCAGACCCCAAAATACCCCTAAGTGTTGAGGGCGTGGTCTGGCCTGGGGAGTGGCTGGATATCTGGGAGGGCAGAGGTGGGAACCTGAGGGAGAAGGACCTAACCTTGACCTCAGCCTCAGACCATGGGTCCCTGCTGCCTGCCTGCCTCCTACTGGGGGCCTGCCAGGCCCACCTGTCCCCAAATGCTGGCAGGCTCCCTGCCCGCTGGCTGCTTAGGGAGGTGCTCCCACTTCCCCTGCCCTTGCTTGAGCTCTCTAGGGCTCCTTCATTCTTCAGGTAGGCTGGGGTCCCCCTCTGTGCTGGGCACTGTGGAAGCTCAGCCCTGTGAGATCCGGCCCTGGAAGAGCCCATGAGATGGCCAGAGATGAGCTTGTCTGGCTGGAAGTTGGGAAGAGGCTTCTCCAAGCTGCAAAGTTAAGCGTTGAGTACATAAAAGGGGAAGATTGGCATTAGTGAGAACATGGCCCTGAGGCTTGATGGACCCAAAGCCTCCCAGGGTGTGTGTGTGGAGGGTGGGAGCGGGTATGCACATGGGTGCGGGACCTCATCTGGTAATGTCTGCAGTCACATAGAATGATCTGACTCAATCTGTGTGTGAGCGCAACTGTTTGTGTGCCTGTGTGTGCGCGCCCACGTGCATGCGCGTGTGTGGTCCTAGTGTAGGTGATGTCTGCGGCCACACAAGATGCTGACTGCGTGTGTGACTCGTGGGCGTGTAGATGCAAGCACAGACCTACGACACATCTGTGTACAGGCTGAAGATCACAACGGGTCTGGCCAGGGCCCGCCGCTGGGCTCCGAGCTGGCCAGTACACCGACGGTTGGATGGGGCGACGCTTCCTGCTCCGGTCCCTAACTCATTATTAAGCTCCTCGCTCTTTGCAGACGCTCCCTGCGCCTCCCCCGCTCCGGGCTGCAGCGGCGCAGGCGCCGGGCCGAGCCGAGCGCCGAGCCGGGAGCGGGCGGCCGCGCTCCGGGCCGGGGTCCCGGGGGAGCAGGTGAGCGACCCGCGCCGCGCGGCCCCCACGGCCCTTGGCGAAGGCGCCTCCCGGCCGCGCTGCGCCGGCGCCCCCGCCTTCCCTGCCTGGCAGTCTCTGTTCGCCTCTGTTGGCATCCTCCTCCTCCCCCATGCCTGGCATCCCCCTCCTCCTCCTGCCTGGCATCCCTTCTCCTCCCTGCCTGGCATCCCTTCTCCCCCTGCCTGGCATCCCCCTCCTCCTGCTGCCTGGCATCCCTTCTCCCCCTGCCAGGCATCCCCCCTCCTTCTCTTGCCTGGCACCTTCCCCTCACCTGGCACTTCCCCTCCTCCCTACCTGGCATCCCCTTCTCCCTTCCTGGCATCTTCCTCCCCTCCTCCTTTCCAGGTATCTCCCCTACTCCTGACTCTTTCCGTCCCCCCGCCTGGCACCTCCCTCCACCCCCACCCCAACCTGGTACCTCTTCCTCCTACCCCTTCCTTGCACCTCTTCCCTGACTGGCAGACTCCCATTCAGCCCCTCTGTGACAGCACCTCCTCCCCATCACTGCCTGGCATCTTCCCCTCCTTCCCTCTCCAGTACCTTCCTATCCTCCTTCCACCTGCATCTCCCCTCCTTCCCTCGTCTGGCACCCTCCTGCCTGGCACCTTCCCCTCCTCCCCCTGTCTGGCACCACCTCCTCCCATTGCCTGTCACCTCCCCCCTGCCGAGCACTTTCTCAACCTGCTCCTGCCTTGCATGCTCTGCTTCCTACTCCCCCTGTCTGGCACCTTCCCTCCTTCCCCTGCCTGGCATCCTCTCCCTCCTTCCCCTACCTAGCACCTTCCCATCATTCCCCTGCCTGGCACCTTCCCTGTCTCCACTTGCTACCGTCTTCCCTGGATACCCCTCTCCTATTCAGGTTGTCCCTCTGTCCCCCACCTTCCTGCAGGGCACTTCCTCCCAACCCTGGGCTGGTAACCCCTCCCCTATTGCATCGTCCTCTCATCCTCCCCTCCCACTGTGTCTCCCAGACCCCACCAGCTCTCCCATCCCCAGCACTCCCTGTCTCCAGCCTCCTCCCTTCTCATCCCCTTTCCTCCCAACCCTAGTCAGGGTTCATCCATCCGCAGCAGCCCCTTTTGTCCACATGGCTTAACCAGACCCTGAGCCACTCCCAAGCCCCACCTCTGTCACCCACACCCCACTCCTACAGCACTGCTCTCTTCTTGGCTCCCATGCCCCACGGTCTGCTCAGGGACTTCAGTTCATACGTTGGGTCCTGACCCAACAAGCTGGAGACCTTCCTGCTCTTCCAGCAAGGAAGGAAGCAGGGCAGGACTGGACAGAGCAGGCACTAGCAGGGACCAGGAGAGAGGTGCCTAGGCCAGCCAGTGGTCATGGAGCAGGCTGACTACCTGCCTGCCACCTCTGGAGTCCCTCCGTGCCTCTGGGCTCCAGGACCATCCCGGTTACCATCCTGACCTGCCCTCTGGTCTTTGCCTCCAATGCCCAGCTCTCTCCCTCCAACCATTGCCATACCCCAAAAACTGGCCTCTCCAGTCAGGCTTTGGGCTCTGCCTGGGGTCCCTGCTCTGTCTTTCAAGTTCTTTGTCCCGCGGGACCCTGGGGCCGGTATCTGTCTGCTCCCCGCACATAGTGCTCCCACCCACTCCCTGCCTTGTGCCACCCTAGACCCAGCTGGCCTGTGCTGGTTGCCTCCATCCTAGCCCCTTTGTTCTGCACAGCTTCCTGGCTTCCTCTGACCTCTGCTCCAGGGAGTTTGGCTTCTTCCCAGCCTCCCGAGGCCTCCTTGAATCTACCTTGGGGCTCAGGGTGTGACCTCTCCTTCCAGATCCTCAGAATGGCCCTTGGTGCTACAGGCGCAGTGGGCTCCGGGCCCAGGCACCGAGAGGGCACTGGATGACTCTCCAGGTGCAGGACCCTGCTGTCTATGACTCCAGGCCTTCAGCACCCACCCACCGTGGTACAGGTAGGTGCCTCCTCCCCTGCCAGCCCAGGAGCAGGAGCTCTGGGCCCCATGGAGAGTCGGCCAGCCCTTGGCCCCTGCTCCCACCACATGGCCCCTCCTGCCCATGGCAGGGCCTCTCTGTCCCTCTCCCCACCCCTGCTGACACCTGTCATTAATGTCCTTCCCTCCATCCCACACTCCCTTTTCTGTGTGCCCTCTCACCTCCTGGTGTCCTTAGGTCCTGCCTCTCAAAGCTGTTCTGAGCCAGGGACAACTAGCCTGAAACCAAGTTTTGGGTTCATGTGAGCATAGTCTGGGCTCTGGCATGCTCCACTTCCTCCCCACCCAGACACCCAGACAACACCCCATCTCCTCTCACTGTGCATGCAGAAGCGTACGCATACGTGCACATGCTCACATGCACACACACCACATGCTCTCTGCGAGCTGGAAGGAACCTGCTGATTCCTTGGCACAACTTGTGCTCAGAAACCTCTAAAAACCCTGCAGGGCCCCAGGCAGGGTTCTGCTTGTGGCAGGAGGGAGGTGGCAGTCGTCTATTGCACAGCCCGCGGTGGGAGCCAACCCTGCCCTGGCCCAGGCGCACCTCTAGCTCTGATGCACTCTGGGACCATTGCTTGCTTGTAGGGCCCTCCTAAGCCTCCTCCCCAAGGAGTGAGAGGAAGATGGTCTGCACTTGTCCGCATCAGTCCCCCCTTGTCCAGAAGGACACACTGAGGCTCTGGGCAGAAAAGTCACCTGCCCCAGAGCCCCACCCAGCATGGTAAGGGGTCGGATCTGAAGTCTGGTCTGAGCTCTGCCTGCCCAGCCCCACCCATCATCACGCTGGCTGGCCTTACCGGTGGGAAGCACCTGGCAACAGGGTAGGTGCTGTCAGGGCCTCAAGGCACGTGGAGCCCAGTCCCTGTCCTCAGGGCCTGCAGCCTTGGAGAGCAGCCTTGGCAATCGGGCACAAAGGGCCACAGACCACACAGGCCTCAGAGCACTGAGGAGGGAGATGTCAGGAAAGTCCTGGAAAGGTGCAATTGGAAATGACTCAGAGGAGCCTGAGGTTCGGGGAGGCCTGGGGCTGTGGGCAGAATGAGAGTGCTTTCTGCTTCTCCTTCCTCAGAAGTTGGCAGAGGAACTCATCCTCCTGCCAGGCTGCTCTGAAGGCCAGGGACAGCCCTGTTCCCCTTCAGACTCCCCCAGTGCCCCTCCTCCTCCAGTGAGGTGCAGGCCCAGGGAAAAATGGGGCAGAGCACCGGCTGCTGGGGAATCTGGCCTGGCCCAGAGGATCCAAGCCACACAGGGCAGCAGCAGGCACCAGTCACCTGGTACCCATCACCAAGGAAACACGCCTGGTGCCGCCATGCCTAGCCCCACACCTGAAGCCCTGGGCCACCTGCAGGAAGGTCAAGGCCTCCAAGCAAAGGTCCCACCCTCATCCCCAACACCTCCCCAGCACCTGAGGTGAACTGGGGACTGGTTGCTCAGTTTGTGGTGGTTGGTGTTTTTGCTGAAATTCATAAAGAAAAGGTGTGAGCTAATATATTAAACCAAGCACTCTACAGTTCTGGGGTGGCCGAGGGTAGAGGCCAGGTTGAATAGGGGGCAGGCTGATGGGAGGCAGCTAAGCTTCCTGGGGGGGTGCACCTGAAGTGGTCCCCCACATGGAGAGTCCTCCTGATACTTGACATGCACTGAGTTAGGCCCTAAGGGGCTCCCCAGCAGCAGTTGGTGGGAGCCCTGGGCTGTTCCAGACCTTTCCTGAAGGGTCACTGAGGATGGGCACAGGGGAGGAGGGCAGGGGAGGCCTGCGAAGATTGGAGTTGGGGCCCTGGGGCAGTAGGTCCATCCTTGTGACACCTGGCCCCAGAGTGGCCCTGGCCATGAGTCAGAAGCCCCAGCTCCAAGAGTGACAAGGTGGGCTAAGTTTGGCACTTTATTTTGGAATCGCATTAACATGCAATCGGCGGTGTGCGTTGCAGGCTTTTGGCAGCCAGGCAGGCACTTGGGCATTTGGATGCTGACAGGCCTGGTGCTAGTGCCTAGGCATCCGTCCTCACCCCAAGCTGGCAGTGTGATTGCAAGTGATTAGTGAGAATTAAGTGGTGGAGGTAATGAGCTAGAGGTGTCACCGGGAGGAGGCGGAGACACCCCTCAGGGATGAGTGGACTTCCCTCAGCTGTGGCTGGACTCAGAACCATCTGGGGCCAAGCTGAGGCCACCGCCTGCTTCTGACGGGTACTTGGCTGAGGGACGTCTTGTAGGGACCATTGCTGTGTCCCCCGGTGCTCCTTGCTAATGAGGGGTGTGGGAATCCTTGGTGACTCATAAAGGACCATAGGGGAGGGCTGATCACTTCGGCCAGGCCCACCTTTTGGGATAGCACGTTCTGTTTATTGACTTTCCAAGCTGTGACACCAATTCTTGGCACCCTACACTTACTTCCAGGGATTTCAGAACGTGCCTCATGAGCATGCGCCCCACACAGGCCTCCTACTGGAACTTAAAAACTTGGACCATCTCCCACGTGAACCTTTTTCCCAGACCGAAGAGCGTTCTGGGCAAATGCCCTGGAGTGAGGGACACTGTACCATGAGGGAGGGAGAGGAAGACACAGGGAGGTGTTCTTATGCTCTGCCTCATCCTGAAAAGGGTTTCAGGTAGTTTTCAAAGATACATATAGTGAGGAAACGGAGACAGAGATAGAGTACAGAAAACATGGTGCCGCCTAGGATGTGGCTGCGGCACCAGATGCAAACCATGAGGCCCGGAGACCCTGATGCGAGCAGAGAAGCAAGCAATTACATGATTTACACTGTGCATAAGATAAAAAATCAGACAACTTGCTCAAATCACTGTGATTTCTGGTCCCGAGCCCTTGGGAGGTCTCTCCTGTATGAGGAAATGAAGGGGATACCATGTGACAGAGTTACGCAATGTTCTCAACAATGTCACAACTGCTTCCTAGGGCTAAGGCAAGGACCAACACAATACTGCCCAGCCATAAACATATTGGTAATATTGCTTAACCCAAACTTAAAATTCGGAGCAACTAGAGGAGTGCATTACTACCTTCAGGAAATACCCTCTTTCTCTTTTGTAAGAGACAGGGTCTCACACTGTTGCTCAGGCTGGAGTGCAGTGGTATGATCATGGCTCACTGCGGCCTCGAACTCCTGGGCTCAGGTGATCCTGCTTTAGCTTCCTGAGTAACTGGGACTACAAGCACAAGCCACAATGCCCCCTAGCTTTTGCTCTTTTTGTTTTGTTTTTATTTTAGTAGAGATGAGGTCTCACTATATTTCCAAGGCTGGTCTCAAACTCCTGGGCTCAAGCAGTCCTCCCACTTCAGCCTCCCAAAGTGCTGGGATTACAGGCATGAGCCATCGAACCTGGCCAGGAAATACTCTGTATGTTGATATTTACAACCATGTTTCTGATAAATATCAGGCAGCAGGAAGATTTATTTAAAATTGGAAATTAAGTACAGTCACATTCTCCAGTAGGGGTAATATCCTTATAGGAAATAAAGAACTCCTTCAGCACGTAGGCCCCACAGGTGAGTTTGGGTATGAGGAGGGACCAGCCCTGGTCTTTCCCCACAGGTCCTGAACCCATGCAAAAACAGGCACAGGCCTCAGTTAACTTAAGTGCAGGGAAAGTCGAGCTGAAGAGAGGCTTGAACCTGAGGCCCAAGTGTTGTCCTATTTCCTAACCTGAGTTTGCTTACCTGGGCACGGGAGCAGAAGGAGATGATCTGTGTCCTAAAACAGACTCGCCTGGAAGGGGAACACTGGCCACAGGATAAGCAGCTTTGCCTTCAGCACCTTTACCCCACCCTCCCGGGAGAAGGATCGTCCAGCTGGCGCAGGCCCTTACCACCTCATCGGACAGAGCCTCCTCCCACAGGGAAGAAGGGTGGGGAGAGGGCCAGGGTCATTCCAGCATCTCCTCTCCTGGGAATAGAGTACATTTTCCTTATGAACACGTGAAGACAAGGGAGTAGGACCCCTCCGCGGTGGGGTGGACGGGCCACATTGCTGAACAGTGACCTCGAGGCTCAGGTCCAGACCTGGAATGACCAAGTCCACCCCCTTTCTTATCTCTCCATTGGAACAATTGCCACATCCTTTTATTTGATGTTATTTCCTAGATAAGTGTCAATTCCATCCGCTCCTGATTGCCTACGTCACCGCCCTAGTCCATGCACTGTGGTCTTCTGCCGCCATCTGAGTGCCGCATACTCAGCCTTGCCCCTGCATCAGACCCCAGCCCAGCACTGTGACCAGAATGGGCTTCCTAAACACAAATTTGATTTGTTCCGCCTTCCACTTCCTTGTGGCTTCATTCTTGTGCCCTCACTCAGGGCCCTCACACCTGCTGTTCCCTGCACCTCCGACACCCTTCCCAGCTCCCTTCACCTGGCTAACTGCACTCATCTTGAAGTCTCCACTTCAGTTCCACCTCTTGCAGGGAGTCTTTCTCCCACCCCTGCTTGGGCGTGAGGGCCACCCACTCTTTTCTGTCTTGCAGTACCTACCAAAGAGTCTCATGCTGAGCTGTAGGGCTCCTTAAAGGCATGGCTGCATCTGTCTTGTTCCACACAGTACAGAGAAATATTTCTTGAATGAATGAACAGATGTGTGAGGCAGTGGACAGAGAGGGGATGGCTCTATGGCTGATTCTAAAATGAGCCCCAGATCCCTCTTGGTGCTGTCAGCGTCACCCTCTCAACACTACCACGATGCAAGGGGGGGCCTTTCTTGCCTGCCAGCCTTGTCCTGCTGTTGCCTGAGCTGCCCCACGCCCCGCGCCCAGCAGCCCTCCCTCCTGTAACTCCGTGGTTGGAGGAGTGCTCCATGCTCATTCCCTCTTCAGTTATTCCCGTGGTGAAGGAGAATGTCACTCCCTCTGACCTTGGTTTTGCCTTTTGGAGTTGCAGGGAGAAACCCCTTTCTCCCTCCAAGCCATCTGACCACCTTTCAACATTTGGAGGCAGTTTTCCCACAGGA